CGGACACCGCCGGACACCGCCGAGCAGCCGGGGTCCGGGCGCCCGCCGCCGCTGCAGCGGCCTCGCTCCCTCGCGGTGCCGCTTCAAACCCTCTCGCGTCAGCTGACTCCCGCCGCGGTCACGTGACCAGAGCGCCCCCGGGAAGCGCACGTGACCGGATCCCGTCCCACCCCCTGCGCCACGACAGTCCCGGCTGCCGCAGCACGCATGCGGGCCTCAACTAGCTCCATGCGGGCGGAGGACGGCCCTGAGGTCCTAACGCCCGCGGGCGATCGCTGTGCTGGGGGATGGGCTGGCTGTGAGAGTGCCGGCGTAGGGCCGGCTCGGCCCTGGCTCCCTGTCATGCCCGCGTCCCGTGCCAAATTCCAGAGTTCCATATTCAGTGCTTGACCCCTTACCCTCCGCAGAGTCCGGTGATGACCATACGTCCTGTCTCATGGCTGCCTCTCCATCCTCCCAGAAACCCCGTGGTTACTCTCAACTCTTTCCGCTTCTGCTCCTCTCGTCTGAACTGTCAGCAAATCCTATTCCATTTCCTAAGTATGTCCCAAATAGGACCAACTCATCCCCACTCCTGTGGCCCTCAGCCCAGAGTCCCCCATCATTCCTGGCCTCCTCCTGGCAGCAACCTCCTCCCTGACCTGAGGCTCCCACTCCTGACCCTCTCCAGTTACACTCCCCAGGCAGCAGCCAGAAGCATTTTCCAAGAGTAGTTCCTATCAGCCCTCTGCTGCAACCTGCTGTCTTCCCACTGCTCTGGGATGACAAGCGAACTCTGACCTCAGTCTACCAGAGCCCTCTGTTCTGGCCCCCATCTCCCCGGGCTGACCGCTCAAGGGCCCCAGGGCCTTTGCACTCTTGCTTTGAAAAGAATGCTGGTTAATTACGCAAACTCTGGAGAACAAACAGTTTAGATTAAATCTAGGCCCGGCCAACTGCCACTTCTACATCTTCCAAAGAGTCCCTTGGGGATGCCTGGGTGGCTCAAGGGATGCCTGGGTGGCTCAGTCGGTGAAGCGTCTGCCTTTGGCTTGGGTCATGATCCCGGGATCGAGTCCCGCATCGGTCTCCTTGCTTCATGGGGAGGCTGCTTTTCCCTCTGCCTGCCGCTCCCCCTGCCTGTGCTCTCTCTCTCACAAATAAAGTCTTTATTAAAAAAAGAAAAAAAAAGTCCCTTAAACTCCACGTTTACTCATTTGCAAAATGGGGATACTTAGTCATAGTTACCTGCCCCTTGGAGCTGTTGGATTAAATGAGAAAATGCAAGAGCGCAAAATGCAAGAGCACTGCACAAGGCTGGGCAAACAGTACTGACAATTAAAGTAGTGGTTATTGGGATTATGGAATCCCTCCTCGGGAAAGCAGTCCCCCCCACCTAAATCAGAGCTCTTGATCCTTTTGTGGACCATGAGCGTGATGACTGAGCGTTCATGCCGTTGTGTGAGGTGTGTCTCTCCCAAACCTTGTTACCTCCTCAGCACATTACCTGTCTGATGTGTGGGGGGAAAAAAGTCTTGTTATGCTTCTCTTAGAATGAACTATATACCCTGTAACTCCTTCTCAAATGTTCCTGAGCTTGGCATCTGTGAGTTCTGTGAAGGCCGTGCTTATCTTGTCCCCGGCTGAGACCCCAGCAATCAATAGAGTTTTGTTCAGCACATAAATGAGCAACCTCTTCTGTCCAGTGCAGTGCCTATAACCTGGGCTGTGAAGGACAAGGAGTAGGTTATGTGAGCAGATGGGTAGGGCTGCCTGCAGGGTCTCATATCAGTCTCCATTATCAGCCCACTAGACTGTGAACATGCCAGAAATTCCACCACTCATAGAAAAGCCAAAGGGAAGGGATCCTGCTCAGACCACCTGCAGGGGAAGTCTGCCCATGACTAGGGTGGCCAGGCCTGGGGGAGCAGAGTGTTAACTGCTGGGAGGGACCAGTGTGAGACCTTGTGGGGGAACTGGGAAACCTGGAGGATTAGGGTGGAGTCAGGACATTGGGGTTCCAGCTATGGCTGGCACCGACCACACCCTCCCATCTCCTGAGGAAGGGGGTGTGCATTAGAGGAAAGAGAAACAGGCAAGCCACACAACACAGAGCCAGGAGGCAGTGGGAGGATTTTACTAAACTGCATGACACACAACTTCCCCAGGCCCCCCATGAGTGTTGGCGTCCACTTCAGCCATCGGGCCCCAGCAGTGCCCCTTGCTCCTGCACCCACTCAGGACTCTCGCCAGTAGGGAGGGCCGGACTGACAGTATCATGGGTGGGAGAGCAGGGGTCAGGGTGAGGCTCAGGGTTGGGGTGGGGGCTGGGCACGGGACTCCGGTCAGGGCTGGGACCAGATCCTTGCTCAGGGCTGGCCACGAGGTCAGGATTGGCGTCGGGACCAGGCTTAAGGTCAGATTTGACAGAATCAGGGGTGGGGGTAGATTCGGAGCCAGAGACAGCTTTGGGGCTGGGATTAGGGAGGGAGCCCACCACGGAGCCAGGGTCAGAGCCCAGGCCAGAGCTGGGGCCCGGGCTGAGGCCCAGGCCAGAGCCGAGAACAGAGACAGCATCAGGACCCAGGAGGGAGACCTGCCCCGGCCTCAACATGGAGGCAGGACTGAGGCCGAGGCCCGCGGCGGCGGTGGCGGCGGCGGCCGCGGCGGCCGCAGCCGCGCCCTCGTGCACCCGCTTGTGCTTGGTGAGGCTGGAGGCTTGGCCGAAGGCCTTGCCGCAGAGCTGGCAGCGGTAGGGGCGCTCTCCGGAATGCACGTGCAGGTGCTGCAGCAGCGCGGAGCTCTGGCCGAAGGCCTTGGAGCAGTGGGGACAGGCGTAGGGCCGCTCGCCCGTGTGGATGCGCAGGTGGTGCTGCAAGTTGGAGCTCTGGCCGAAGGCCTTCCCGCAGTGGGGACAGCGGTACGGGCGCTCGGCCGTGTGCGTGCGCTGGTGCTGCAGCAGCGCCGAGCTCTGGCCGAAGGCCTTGCCGCACTGCGGGCACGGATACGGCCGCTCGCCGGTGTGCGTGCGCAGGTGCTTCAGCAGCGCCGAGCCCTGCCCGAAGCCCTTGGCGCACACGGGGCACTTGTGCGGCCGCGGGCCGCCGTGCGTGCGCAGGTGCTGCGCGAGCAGCGAGCCGTGCCCGAAGGCCTTGCCGCACACCGGGCAGTGGTGCGGCTTCTCGCCGCTGTGGCTGCTGCGGTGCTTCAGCAGCGTGGAGCGCCAGCCGAAGGCTTTGCCGCAGGCGGCGCACTGGTAGGGCCGCGCGCCCGTGTGGATGCCGCGGTGCTGGGCCAGCGTGGCGCCGTGGCTGAACGACTTGCCGCAGTCGGGGCAGCGGTACGGCTTCTCGCCGCTGTGGGTGCGGCGGTGCTGGCTCAGCCCCGAGCTGCGGCGGAAGGCTCGCCCGCAGTCGGGGCAGGAGAAGGGCCGCGGCGGGCTGGCAGGTGCAGGGAGCACCGCGGGGCTGGTGGCCAGGACCTCCGGCGTGGCAGTGAGGCTGGATGAGAGGGGGTCCGGGTCTGGGGACTCGGTGGGGCCGAGGGTGTCGTTGTTAGGGTCAAGAACCAGGGGGACCGGGCCGATGACGTCTGGATCGAGGTCGAAACTTGAAGACATGGGGTCGAGATCTTGGGGATCCGAGTCACGGGTGGCTGAGATGGAGCTCGGAGCTTCGGCGGCGGGGTCCAGGTCCTCAGAGACGGGCTCCAGATCTTCATAGCTGGGGTCCACGTCTTCAGAGACGGTGTTGACGTCTTCTGGGTCGGGCTCTGGGTCTTCACAAACTGGGTCCAGCTCTTCAGGGTTGGGGTCCAGGTCCTCTGAGTCGGAGTCCAGCTCTTCATAAGTGGGCCTCGGGCCTTTGTGGCCTGGGTTCCTGACCAGGACCGAGCGCCGCGTCCCTGGCGTGGAAGTGCTGGCTGCTTCTGGGGCAGGATCTGCAGGGTGAGGACAGAGGGTGGGTGGGGGGTAGGTTCTGGAGGCCAGGGGGTCTCTTTTGGAGTCTGGGCAGGGGAGTGAGAGGGGACCATGCCACGGCCCAAAACCCACTCCTGAATACACACATGGATCCTGCTCTTGTCTCAAATCGCAGGGAGACTTGTGATGCGCTCCAGCCAGGGCAGGGAGAAGAGGGACCCTGGTGGGACATGGGGGGGGGGGAACCTTCCCTTCTCAGCACCACACCTGGATGGAAGTCACGGGACCCAGCACTAGAGGTCTCCAGTACCCAGCTCCAGGGCTCTGCCCCTCTCTCCATCTTGGTCTCCTCCTCTGGTGGGAAGCTTGGGTCCTGTGGAGGAGAGAGAGTCCAGGGTTCCTACCTGCTTGACTGGGGTCCCCTCATGAGGAAGAGGGTGAGTGCCTGGGTTCCTGTGCTTGCTCCTAAGTACATGGCCTGAATTCCAGTCCCGTAGTCGGGGGTGACATATTTGGGGGTTCCTAGTAGCAAGGGCAACCTCTGGCTTGCCTCACAGAGAGGAAGCATCCTGAGCTCTGAAGCTTATATCTGGGGGATGGGGGGGGGACAACATCTGGTACTCCCCTTGCTTCACTGGGGGAGGGCAGGGGGACCTCTGGCTTGCTTGCTTGCTGGGGAAGAGGTGACTGGAATGCCAGATCTCACAGCTCAGGGGTGGGAATAACTGTCAAAACACCTGTGTATCCAAATGCCAGTTCCTAAAGCTGGGTGGGGTGGGGTGGGGGGGATAAGGTGGGACCCACTGGGGCACAGAGAGATCCATGAACCCCTAGCCAGGTGAGTAGGGACAGGTGTTATACCTGTTTGCCCAGTTGGATAGCAGATCCTGAATTCTAATCCCTAGGTGGGGTGGGGGTGGGGGCAAAAATAATACTTGGGGCCCCTATGGGGTTACGGGGGGGCTCCTGGGTCATCTCCTAGGAAAGGGAGATTCCTGAGTAACTAACTGATCCCAAGGCTGAGGTATGGGGACGAGTGTCAGGACACTTTTTGGTCCCCTCCTGGAGAAAATATCCTGAGTTCCAGCCCCATGCCTGGAGGTTGGAAGCAGGGTGGAGAAACCATTGCTGGGAGCCCTTCTGGGGAGCAGAGGGAGTTCAGGATTACCTGATGGGGAGGTGATGTCTTGAGCTATCCACCCATGGCTGTGGGTTGGGGAGCAAACAAACAGATCTGTTCCTGGAGGGAGGGATAGGGGGGCCTCTGGCTTTCCTGGGGAGAGGGACATCCAGAACCACAACCCCACAGCTGCAAGTGGCTAAGCAAATGGAGAGGGTGGAGTTCTTAAATCACCTCCTCAACCCAGACACCACATTTGAAGGGTGCGGGGGAAACAATGCCTGGGTCCCCTCCTGGGTTTCTGGGGGGCAGGGGGACCTTTAGATGGCCTCGTGAGGAAGGGGACTTCCAAACTCTCAACTCTTAGCTGGAAGGCGGGGAGGAGAACTGAGTTCCTGGGAGGAGGGGGGCAGGTGGACCCCTGGATCACCTCCTGGGAAGGGGTTTCCAGAACTCTGGACCCCAAGACTGGAGAGTGAGGGGAACAATAACTGGGCTCCAGGGGGTCAGAGGGAACCCCCGATCCCCCTCCTGAGGAAGGGCCTCCTGAACTCCCGACCTCAGGCTGGAAGGTGGGGAGAACAATACTTAGGGGTCCTCCAGGGTTCCTGGGATGGAGAGGGTCTGGATCGCCTTCAGGGGAGGGGGCGCCTGAGCTCCCGACCCCAGAGCTGAGGGGTGCCCCCCCATACCTCCCCGATTTCAGGCGCCAACTCGGGCTGGGCCCTTCTCCCCCGGGGCCGCGGCGGCGGAAAGGGCGCTCTAGGCCCTGGGGCCGCGGGGGGACCCCCCTCCCCTCACGCCC